GAATCATCGGTAAGAGACCATTTGACCCATTGGCAAGTGGATTAATTGGGAAAAGGTCATTTGACCCTTTGGCAAGTGGTCTTATTGGAAAACGGCCATTTGATTCTTTGGCTAGCGGACTGATTGGAAAACGTGAATTAGACACTCTTGCTAGTGGACTTATTGGCAAACGGGACAATGATAGTGAGATGGAAGACAAAAGGTCATTCGATCCACTGGCGAGTGGTTTGATTGGGAAGAAATCATTTGATCCTTTGGCTAGTGGACTTATCGGAAAACGTCGTTGATAATGTAGGAATAAAAAAAAAAGATCTTTTTGTTATAATTTTAACAAAACAGGCCCTATTTGAAGGCAGAGATTGCACTATGGAAATTGCAAAGTTATCTATGAATAAATTTTCGTTTCCATCCCGTCTTTAATTCTGTATTTTCTAACAGCCTTCACGAACAAGTTAATTCTAAATCCAATAAAACGAAACTATGATTTTTTTTAAGTTTTCACAATACCAGCGGCAATCCTCTAATATTTAGAAAACAATCACCCCCGGCACGTATTTTTACTTTGATAGAGTACAGCAAAAATCCGTACAAAAATCCGCTCTCGATTTCTCTCTGTTGTAGCCAATAAAGTTTAATTTATCTTAAATGAATTATATTGAAAATGTTCGTTTCATTTCTCCAGGACACACAAATGGTAAAGAAAGACTTTCGAAACAACGCTTCTTTTTCAATGACTGTAAGTATTAAAGATATCTTTGAAGAGCGCTTTTCTGATGGCAACGGTTCAAAATAAGATCAGAGTCGCCACAAAGCAAACAATTCAACTTTATTTATCCTGTATCAACAATTTTCTTTAATAATAAAATATCGTAAGGGAGGTTTTGGGCAAAACGATAGTGATCGTCATATTTTTAGAAATGTTTAAATCCATTCAAATATAAACTGAGAAAATCTACGCACGCTTTTCGTCTAAGTTTGTACGCAAGAATAGGAAGGCGTTCTTCTAGCGGCTAAAATCAACCCTTGCAATTTTGTTGTTGATTTGTTGATGTTGATGTTGTTGTTGTTGTTGGGCCATTCGACTCGAGCCCTTGTTCCAGATTCTTCACTGAAGCAAGAAGAAAATAGCATTTTAAAAGAAAAAGATTAAAATAATATTTTATTTTTCTTTTATTTTGTATCTGTCTTCTTTATTTCTTTCTGTTTAAAAAAGGTCACCTTTGAAAAACTTTTGTTTCGACAGAAAAGTGGCCTCATAATCAAAATTCAATTTGGTTAAATACTTCTGCAGTCCATATTTATTTATTATAGACTTATACACATGCACGTGCATACATACACACACACACACATACACTGCACTCACTCGATTTCTCTCACATACAATCCCACACGCACGCACCGCACCCATATACTCTGTTTCTTTCTTTCTCTTTCTCACATACGCACACACACCGCGCACACATACTCACTGTCTTTCTTTCTTTCTCACACACAAACACACAGCACCCACTGACACTACACACTCATACTCTGACTCTTTCTTTCTTTCTTTCTTTCTTTCTTTCTTTCTCTCGCATACACCGCACTCACACACACACACACACACACTCTCTCTCTCTCTTTCTCTCTCTCACATATATACACACAAACGCATATACCACACTACATACTTTGTCTTTCTCTCACTCACGTACACACACCACACACACATACTCACTGTCTTTCTTTTTCTCTCTCACATATACGCACGCACACACACACAACACACCACAGAGACACCGCACCCCACACACACTGCACCCACCTACTCTGTCTCTTTCTTTTACTCTCTCAAACACACACACACACACACACATACACACACACACAAGAATTCACTACACCATAATACAATCTTTTGTATCGAAGATAAATATCTACTGCATAAAAGAAGCAGAATGTCTCTGCCTTTTTCGTTGAACCCCACCAAAAGCTAACGTTCATAATTTCAAAGTACGAAAGCCTAAAAAGAACAAAATGATTATGTTGCATTTTCTTTTTCTAACCAATACGACTAGCGATGATTTTTTGGTTTTTGTTGTTTTGTTTTTTTTAATTTTTTATTTATTTTTCGTTAATTCCCACGAAAACGAAAATCGTAATCCTAACACCTAACTCTGGAGGAGGAGGAAACAACGAAGAAATATAACAATTTCAATCAAAATTTTAAACTGGTGGGAATCAATGGAAAAGCCCATAAATGCTATACTCTATATTAATAATGTTATTTATTTCAAACTCTTGACTCTTCTATATTAATAATGTTATTTATTTCAAACTCTTGACTCTTCTCTGGAAAAATTTTCAAAAAACCTGTGATAAAACAGCTATGCAAGATATGATGAAATTATTTTATTCTCCACGATAGAATTGTTAAAATTAGATTCCAAACCATCATCAAAAATTTAATTTCTAGTCGTCGACAAAAACGCTACATAATCTTTCGTGTTATGGTTGCAGTAATCGAAATAAAACTCGCCCTCTCCACCAAAAATATGCCAAATAAAATATCCCAAATTAAGCGGATGAACTTTTATGTGGTATAAATTAAAGATTAGAATCCTAATCCAAAAATGTTTCACAACTCCAAATATATAAACAAGTTATATACAAGGGACCCGACCTCTCCTATTCTCTACCTTTACAAGACCCTAATCAAGCAGAAAAATGGAATAATGCTGCCATATATGGGCTGGAGCTGCCCAGTCTTCACTTTCCAGTCTTGATTATTTTCCACCATACAATCCCTTTCCCACAGACGAAACGTTGCAAGCATATAGCTACTCCATCGTTATTTTTTAAACATTTTACTCCAAGCAAGTTAATAAAGCCACTAGGACGCAAGAGGTTACTGAGTGTTAAAGAATATAAGAAAAAAACTACTATTAAGGAGAGAGGACAATAAAAGAATAAGACAGAAGATAAGGATTCACATTGCATTTAATTTTTTTAAAATCAAAGTTGACTGGGAAGCAAGAAGACGGAAGAGAATTTCACAAACTATAAGTATGATAGAAGAAATTGTTAGCATAAAACTTACGGTTCCATCTAGCTATTTTAACTATAAATTGATGAGACCTTACTACCAATCTAGTATGTGCTTAAATTCATAAAGTCTAGTTACCGTAAACGAAAGATCATCAGAACAATAAAGATAATAATAAAAAAACACAGGGAAGCTACGTTAGGGCGGTGGGAAAGAGATTGAAGCCGAGATGCTAGGTCAGGACACATAACATTGCAGATTCTTCTTTGGTTTTTATTAAGAATTTCTAAATATGTAGCAGGAGCACCAAACCAGATGTGACAGCAATATTCAAAGCATGGATAAATAATAGACATATAAATATATGAGATAAATTCTGGCGAAAAAAATTGTCTAGCACAACATAGCGAACCAACTTAACAACTGATTCAATATACTCTTTCCACTTCATGTCAACGGAAAACGTCAGTCCGAGACGGCACATTGAGTCACTCTTCTGAAGGTTAGCATCAGCCATGCTGATGGAAGATGAAAAGGGTTCTCTAAGATGATTAAAAGAGAGCATTTTGAGGCGTTAAAATTAAGAAGCCACTCCTTGCCCCATTTAACAACAGATTGTAGGTCATTTTTGAGATCACGTGTTAATTTGACCTTATCGAACAGATCAGATTTGCTATTACAACAGGAGTAAATAGTTATGTCACCAGTAGAGATACCGACTTGAGAAATGATGACATCAGGAGGCAATTTATGAAAATTAGAAACAACGTAGGTCGAAGGATAGTGTCCTGGGAAACACCTGCATTTATGCAAAAAAGATCTAGAAGAGTTGCCATTCAAGACAACGTTCATTTCGCGATTTGATAAGAAAAATTGAATCAGTTCAAAAATTCGTCTAGAAATACCATAATCAATCAACTTGTGAAGAAAACATATCAAACCCTGTCAAATGCCTTCGAGATATCCAAAGAATCAGCCTGAGCTATATTTCCATGGAAAATGTTCAGACGAACTATATTCCTTAGTTCTACCACTTCTAACCTTCACGGTTAAGACACGCAATGACACGCGTATTATGGCGAAGCATCCTCATTGGCAAGATGTTAAGTTCTTTCCACGAACCGCTGCTCTGTAGAATCATCTCCCAAGAGGATACTTCCCCTATCATACAATCTTAACCTTTTCATGTCTAGGATTAACCGTTTTCTTCCCCCACATGTCCGTATAAATTATGCCGCTTACTCAGCAACCCTCTACCTTGAGGGGCTCTTGAGCCTTTTATTGGGTGAACATTATTGCTAAAAACATTTCAAAATACTCTTCACTGTATTCGGCCGTAGAACATAAGACAAGTGAGGTTGGGCCCATATCGTTTGAATCAAACATGGAAGAAAGCTTTCTTATTTCATATCGACTAACTACTTCCAACAGACTGGCATGATGAGGCACCTGATCTTAGAGTTTGACTCTAAAAAGACAGGCAAAATAAGAACCCAAGCACGAATGCTGTTGTTAATCTTTAGTGGTTGCTTTTGTATATTGCATTCCATCGTCAATTCCACAAGACCAGTTATCGATGCGTTATATCCATTTTTTTTTTTTTAATTATATTAAGTCTTTTGATTACAGTACGTCGATGAATATAATTATAGTAAAGTACGAAATATTTTTATCCTGGATTGAACAGCCATTTTGTATCTATGTAACTCAAGGGGCTCCCGCTCAATTGATTTGAGCCTTGAGTAGCAGAACTACATCGCCTATAAAATTGACATGTGAGTGTTTCAAAGCAACCAACCGCTGTCTAGCAGCAAGGAAGAGGAAATAAAATATATCAATAAATAAATAAATAATCTTTCGGGATTAAGTGCCGAAAAGTAGGGAATTCCGGTCATGTGGTCCGCATTTTTGGTAACGGTCAGAGTCACCGTTATATTAACAGATATAGGATTTCGTGGGATGATGAATAACATCAACAATGGGATACAACCAAATTAGATAGATAGATAGATAGATAGATAGATAGATAGATAGATAGATAGATAGATAGATAGATATTAAAAGAATACGCCCGCGCATTAAATATTACTACCATATCTGGTCTGGTGCTTCGGCTATATATCTCGAGATTCTCGATAAATTCAAAGAAGGCTCTGTAACGTTATCGGTCCTAACCTGGCATTTCGACTTCAGGCATTTTCCCAGCGCTGTGATGTGGCTTTCCTGTCTCATTTCTATACATATTTTCATGGCAGTTTTTCTTCCTTCTAACAGAATGCATGTATTTAAACGTACTACTGCATTGGCAAATAGGTCGCATCGTTTTATGATTGAAATAGCTAGAAGTAATTGTAAGTTCTATTCTGATAGTTTCTTTTCTCACACTTCCCATTTGTGGAGTTCCCTTCCGATTTCTTGTTTACCTTTCACTTACAATCTTCATAAATTTAAATGCAACGCCAATCGCCACCTTCTGCCATCCTTGACTCCGTTTTTCATTGCCCTTTCTCCTCACTAAAGACTTCTCATTCTCTTTCCCCTCTCAGTATCCGCTTGCGTTTTAGTGGCATTATCGACTTCGTTGGGGTGAAATGATTTACAAAATGATAGATAGATAGATAGATAGATAGATAGATAGATAGATAGAATAGAGAGAATCTTTAATGACTAAATGTATTTTTGTCTTTTTCGTCTACACCATTTCTTTAAAATGCATCATTTTATGTTAATTTTATGTTTTGAGGAGCATTCATATCGCGATAATTAATAAGTTAGCATATCAAGTATTGCAAATGCATTCAGTTCCCATTCATTTCTTTCCCTGGCGAAACGAAACTGAGCAAATCACCTTTGCAATATCTTCACCTACGGCAGACTGCGCACTAAATTGAGATAGTTCTCTGAAAAAAACGTCTACTTTGAATGGCTTTATTTATTTTCCTCCGGTCGTATATAATACACCAGTCCGAGTTTTGCTGGATTAATACCCTAATCGATGCTGTCACATCAGTCCAGGACTACTTACCCTCTCCCCTGATCGCGTGGTGGGAGTGTGAAGTTGGCTTCGCTCCGATCTGTAAATTCTTGGTTTTGATATTTTCATGTTAATTTTAATAGCATACTTTTCCGTGATGGCTTAGAGAAATTTAGAAGTCCTTGCCGTACTGCGATACTAGGGTTGGATACATTTATACCCAAATAAGTTTAAAGTGGGGGGGGGGCTCCCTCCCACATATGGTACGTTTACTTGTGCTAAAATGTATTCCCTGAATATTTAATTTTTTCTGCTCATGGTATAGATTTTAAATCAGAATGTTTCTGTCGCCAAAATTTTATGAACAGTGCAGCGGGTGTCTGAAATTCGAGTTTTCCTTCTGTTAGATTCTCTCCCAGAATTTAAATTTACGTACCTGGAATTGCCAAGGGGTTTCCCATCTTAGTACTGACCAAGCTCGACGTCGCTTAACTTCAATGATTGGACGAGCACCGTAACATTCAACATGATATGACCGTAAACTAAACAAATTTCTTGTCTTTGATTTCAGTAATACTGTTTTCTCGTTTTCATTAGTGTTTTTCTTCCTTTCCCACATTCAGTCTAAGTTATACACAGAATACTCGGGTGAGCTGGGACCGACTGAAAAGTAATTTTCACAGTAAGAACGTGCTAGCAAGAGTCCTAATTCATGCATGTACGTATATATAAAAGTGACAATGTGTAAAGTTGGTAAAACATAAACTTCTGCCACCAAACCAAGAAATACTTATAACAAGATCGAGAAATGTAAGTTATAGATAAATGCATCTATATATTTATTTATGCGGAACATTCCTCGGGATTGAGATACATGTTTAATTAGAATTATATTCACTAATCTATATAATAAATGCGAATGTCAGGGTGCCACTGTGTCACACACTTTCAACTTAAAGGGACATAACTCTAACTTTCAATAGCTCATTTCAAATGAAAAAAATATTGTTCTCAACTTACAGTGTTTCAAAGTAAAATTGTACGTCTTTTCAACTTAACCCCTGGATGCCGTAGCCCAGCATATACCATTTTGGAATGAGGTCGACTCGGTGAGCAAATTAAAAAAAAATCCGGGCCGGATCTGGAACCGCAATCCTGAAATTTTGGAAGTTTTCATTACTGCTATTTTTTACGTGATTTTGTGCGTCAAATTTTTTGTACGATAACAATTTTTAAAACTCGGAAATAAATTTGGGAATAATTGAAATTAATTGCGATAGCCAGTGAAAGTCACTCATGAAATTAAAATATTGTTTGTGCGGAAAGTAAGGACCTACGTACATCAAATTGTCTTTAAATTAAGTGGCGGCAGACGAATTATCGTTGAAATTTTAAAAGGTAAGCTTAAATATTAATGCAGTGATCAATTTTGACTTCTTCTGTAGTTTATTGTTGTCTATCGCATTTGCTCCTTCCTACCTATTTTGATGAAAGCCTAATCAAGAACCCTCCACAGGAGCTAGCTTAAATGACGCCCGAAAAGTCGGCTTTTAAGCTAGTAAAATAATAAAACAGTGTAGTTTTGAATGTTATTCGGCGTCAGTTGTCGGTACAGAAGCGCAGATCAAAGCTAAACCTTTGTTTCCCGAGACAACCTGTGAAAAAACCTTCCTCGATTGAAATATTAACGTGACATAAACTTATTATAATCATTAAATTAAATTTATTTTACATATCTTTAGGTTGTAGGGTCTTTCTAGTGTTTTTCATGTTGACTATTTCATTGATTTGTATTTTCGACTTATCAACCCTTTGTGGATTATTTCAGTCCGAAACATATTTCGGATTGTATGAGGTTCTTTACAATAACCGGTATTCCCAAACGGTCCCCCATCCAAGTCCTGACTGGGATCGACATTGCTTAACTTCAATGATCCTTTGAGAACCGGTATTTTCAGTGTGATGTCGACAATATGAAAAATAAGATCTAAGAATATATATCCGAATAATAGGGATTAAACACATCCTAACACGGAAAGTTGTGTTGCGACGCGTTACCTTCATAGAAGAACGTCTTTAGACAATTTACACTATCTGTATCAGCCTGAGCAATATTTCCATGTAAAATGTTCAGACGAACTATCGTCATAATTACGACGAGGTTTTGGAGAGAATGGAAACAAAAAAGAAACTTATACTTAACATTAGGAAGAGACAGTTGAAATTTCTGGGACACGTAATGAAGAAGGGGGGCTTGGAAAGTCTGATACTCACAGGACAGAGACGCGTGATATAATTGATGGGCTTGAGCAGAACAGGGTTTGGGAGAAATAACAAAAAGACAAAATTTATTAAGAGCTACAAGGGACAGGAAGATGTGAAGGGCCATGATCGCTTGCGTCTTGAAGGTTCACAGCACATAAAAGAAGAAGTCACTTCCAAAAGTTCTTCATTCAGGGTGTTTCAGTTCGAGGCTAGTTGGATATGTTACAATCGCCATCTTTAAACTTTTCTTAAATCACAGCTCACATATAAAGACCTTCCCTGTATCCATATACACTACACAAATATTTCAAATGCCTCATTTCTCGACTCAATGATGTTGCTTTTCAAAGTTATATTCCACCTCATGGTTAAACTTTGAAATGCACTAAAAAACGAGACAAGATAGAAAAGGTGATAAAATAATTCTAGACACAGTTTTCTACCTCGGTTCTGTATTAGTTATTTACCTCATAAGTCATAGCGGTGAAATATCTTCTTACTTTCCGAATATCATAACAGTTCAAAAGTTTGAGAGAACCCCTATTAATTTTTAAAACTGGCCCCCAAAATAGTTGTTTTATACTTTAAAAATTATTTTATATGGTTAAAAAAAGTGAGACATGATTTTTTATTAGAAATTTTATTATGAATAAAAGAGATTATCTTCTGATTAAATTTTGCTCTCGTCAAAATATCTCCTTTAACTTTGATTACTCAGCACAAATCCCAGGTATTCGTTGCAAAATTTTCTCTAAGTATAAGTTTGATAATTGATTCCATTCTTTTTTCAATGACTCTAAAAGCTCTTTTTATGTTTCTTCACTCTTCTGTGAAGTTCATCCCATACTAATTCTAGGGGAAGTGGATTTAAAGTTTTGAACTATAGCGTACTTCAAGAATTTAACGTAGAGGACACTCCAATAGTAATGGCTCCTATTTATTTTCACGGAAACTACAGCGAATACAGAGAGAACAACGCTATTTATCCTTATAAACACCAGCACTAGTTATGTATTCTTCATTTCGTAGGTTGGCAACTACACAAAGCCGTTCAGAAAGCCGTTCGCACACGTCGCCCGTCGCCACTGCTGAGATACATTTCCTGTGTTCACAACACACCTTTGTTTCGTACGCACTCTCATTTCAGACGCCATTTTGTCTGTAATAGGGTTTTAAAAATAGGCTTTATTAGCGGTAAGGTTCAACCTTTACTGCTATACCGCGTACAGGATGGGTCACAATTAAGTAGAAAGAAGTATTTTCAGAGGGAAGCCTCTGAATAAGTCTCTAACCCAAAATATGAAATGTAATTAATTTCTTACGGTGCCAATTCCCTTAGACTGTCACTGCAAGGCATGATGACAAATTTAATATCATTCGTGTTACTTGCTCAATGTTTAGCCAATGGTTAGATGAATTAATCTTGTTAATCTAGAAGATCAATCTAGAAGGTCACTTATTCTTATAGCTGACCAAGCCTCGGCAATATCTTCTTTTATAAGGATTTTCTAGTTTTGTTATATTTATAACATAAGATACGCAGATGAAACTGTATTAATGACAGACATACATAAAAGAAAACTACAGGGATTCGGGGATGAGGTAGTAAAGGAAAGCAAAAAGAAAGGACTACTCAACAATTGTAAGAATACAAAATGTATGGCCGTTAGCAAGTGGATCAGCCCAAGATGCGAGCTACGAATCAGAGATGTCAACATCAAGCAAGAACAGAAATTTCACTATATGGAGAGCGTTTTAACGGACGACGTAAAATGAGATACAGAAATCCGAAGCCAAGTTGAAATAATGAACGATGTCTTCTCAACGTTAAACAAAGTATTGAGAAACAAAAAATTCGTTAGAAATAAAGAAAAGAATGCTGTACTCTACGTAATGTCAGTTCTCCTATATTATAGTGAATCCTGGATAATACCCGGTGTAATAGTAAAATTGTCCACATCGTGTTACAGCATCCCACAAAAATGTTTAATATCTAAAAAAAAAACAGTAAACTAATTGAGTCTCTTTTTTCCAGGTTTTCATATAAGACGTTTAGCCATCTTGTCGTAAGAATCACTGAAAAGCCCTTCGACCTATTCAGCTAGAAAGAAAACAGGTTAAAATAGTTTTGCGTTAGCCCCACAATCTTCTCAACTGAGCAATGATGAGAGGAAAAAATCATTCAGGCCTTCAGTAAAGGTACCAACATTCATGCCCTGGCTTCTATTTTGAAAGTACATTCAAGAACCATCAAGAGAACGGTGAATAAGTTTAAAACAGAGGGAACAGTAGAGAGGAAAACTGGATCAGGAGGTTAAAACAGGAAGAAGGATTATCATTTCAACTTAGTGCTAAAGAGATCAATTAGAAAAGACGCTTGGCGCGTGAGAAATGAGTTTCAGCTATGACAGTCGAAAGAGCAGTGGAAAAAACATGAAAATTAAATAGTTGGTGAAACGCGTGAGGCACCTTGTTACTCCAGGACAGACAGAAGGTTAGAGAGGGCAAAGATCATCTTGAATAATCCGGGAATTATATATATATATATATATATATATATATATATATATATATATATATTTGAACTTTATTTCAATACTTCATGAGCTTCCGATCCTTAGCTATGATTAATTAATGATGAACATGTCATTTTCGTTTATGATCGATTTCATCACGATTCTTCTGTTAAGCTTGGAGAGTAATTATACATTCTTATTGTTCAAAGTAGAGTTCAGTAGTGTTATAAAGACCTTGGAGAATTCCAGTAAGATATCTTTAATCATTTCTGAGATACAACGTTTCAAAGCTTAATCTAACAATTGGACAATTTTGCTGTTACACGATTTGGACAATTTTGCTGTTACACCAATTATATACCCAAACGAGGAAGAGACTTGAATCAATAGAGATGTGGTCCTACAGAAAAATGGTGAGAATCCCATGGTCGGAATATGTGAGCAGCGAAAACTTTTTAAGGAAAATGGAAACAATAAGTAAACTTGTAGTTAAAACCAGAAAGAGACAGTGCGAATTTTAAACACATAGCGAGTAAAAATGGTTTGAAGAATTTCACACTCAGGGAAGATACTGAAAGCAAGAAGGAAAGATCGAGCAACATAACTAATAAGTTTGTGTAAATGAGAAACAACATTTCTTAGATTTACAAAGGATAAGGAGTTGTGGAGAGCCATGATCACCTACGTCCAGAAGAGGCACGGCACGTAATGACGTTGTTTATACAATCATGCAGGAATTGTCAAACATGTACGTGAATAA